CAAATGGGACGAAGGATTCATATACACATGATTTGTATTTAGATATACACAACATCTTTTGACGAGAGTGGAATCTTCAGGAACAACATGAGAAACTTTAGTTTTTGTTAGCGTCCGCTATAGTACACCTGAAAATGGCGATTAAACACTCTTGTCACATACATTCTCAACAACAGAGGTGTTCAAGAACGCAATAAAAACAGATAACTTTAAGGTGTGGCTATCACCTTAATGGTTGTATCTGCAAACCCTGCAAAGAGCTTGCCTTCCCAATATAACAAAGATGTGATTACTGATGAACCCGGGATCGATCCAACGTGAGTACAGTCTAGTGATATCTCATTTCCTGAAAGTTCCTACAAACCGTTGTTCGGAAACAGATGTTAGGAGGAAAATCCAGCATCAGATAATGGGTAAAGTGTTGATTTTTTTTCAACTACTGATAAGAGCTGTGGATTATACGTCACTAGCTCAGGTCTACAAAGTAATGGATTACCTGCACATTGACGGTTTTGTCCCACCCTCCAGTGAATACCCATTTACCGTTCACGGCAATGCTGAGAATTGCACTACTCTGTATTTGCATTGACTTCATCAATGTATTATCCCTCCATATCTGGAAGCACAATCAGAAGAGTCCAGATTTCGAGACTGAGAATAAGATTGAAATGAAGCAAGCTGAGCAAAATGTTTTCTTAGGATAGATATAAACCTGTATATCTCCGTTTTGATAAGCTGCCACTAGGGTTTGGTCATCTGCAGCTAGAGACAAAATAGATCTTATAATACCTGGAGTCTCTTCTCCCAACATCGTCAACAGACTGTGGTCACTTAGACTCCACAATCTAACGTTCCCATCCCAACTTCCGCTGTATAGTACTCCGTTTTGCACAACAAGCGTTGAAACTACAGATTTATGACCAGTCATAGTGCAAACCAGGCTTCCATCCTAGAAAAAACAATCACTTTCTTCAGATAATATGTTGAAAATCTTATCAGAAAAAGCTTTACAAGTGTACAGGAAAATTGACTTACTTGCAATGACCAAGCTTTGATAGTGTTATCTCCACTGCCACTAAACACATGCCCATATTCCGAGTATGCCAAAGCATGAATGCCAGTATATCGCCAGTCTTTTGGCTCATACCACTTTCTTAGCGGCTGTTCTTCCAGAGGGAAAGTAGTGCTCCATACAAATATACCTCCTCCACCGTCGCCACTGACACATACTGGTTCTGCTCCCTCGATGTGTATCAAAGCCATTACTTTATCTTGATGACCTTTAAATGTATGCACATGGGAAAAGTCCTGCATACAGCATGTTTTGCATGAAGATCCATATAGCTAGAATTAGACCTTATTAATACTTATGATAGGGAGAAAACTAAGCTGCTAAAACCTTACTTCATACAACTTATCAGAGAGAGATTTCCAAGCTGGGAAGAACAAGAACAAAAATCTATGAAGGACCTATCACTAACTTATTATATATGGAAGCATGATTGCATCTGTACCTTCAGAGACCATACAAGGATATTTTTATCAAGCGAGGAGCTGAACAGAAACCCACCTACACAGAGAAAAGGAACAAGATACAGCCTTAACATTTATAAATGCATCGTGTAAATAATACTCTTGCAAGAAAATTTGGGTACCTTTTTATCATTTATTCAAAAAAATATAAAGCTTATACAATTTACAAAAAAGGAACAAAGTATAAGGTGTACCTCCAACCGCTAAACCCGTGACAGAGTCTTGGTGTCCCCGCATGTCTTTAGATTTCATCTTTCCTTCTGCGAGTCTCCCAACAAAATCTATGTCAACCTTACCCTCCCCTGCTTCAGTGCCATTTTTCATTCCAGGAAACTCTTCTTCAAGTTCTTTGGATCCCACTTCGACCAAGCGGCATAATTCACCTAGAACCAAACTATACTCTTTCCTTTTTCCAGAGATCGGTTTATTCAATCCAATAATAGAACTAAATCTAGAATACACCACCAGCTCCCTGATGCATTTCCATAGATCATTCAGAGCTGGACGTGCCTGAGGATCAAGACAGCAACACTGGGAAAGAATCCTAATTATCGGTTTAAACTTCCCTCCAAGTTCAGTCTCTATTATAGAACTTAATTTCTCTGTAATACCTGTGTACAGCAACAATAAATCCTCAATTCCCTTGTCACATCCTTTTGGATCCACACAATTTACACTTTCAATCAGCTCTTCAGAAAACCGTTTTCCAAGAAGAAGCTTGAGGAGAAGAAAACAAACTGGCCAGACATCAGAGCTATATGAAACCAAATCTTTTGAGCTGGCATTTTTTATCAACACATTCTGTTCTTTCAACAATTCAAACAACACCTCTGAGCTCATAAAAATCCCCTTCTGTAGTAATCGGACCAAAATCATTCTCATTTCCAAAGCACCAACTGGTTTGCCGAAAGAGCTAGTTTCTTCAGCGATAAGTCGATACACATTCCTTCCAGTTACAAGCAACTCAATCAAATCAACAAAAGCATTCCCAAATTCGTCAAACTTCACACAAGAAACGCTTAAACATCCTGTGAATATCCCTTCCTTATGCAGATTGAGAAGTGCCTCACAAATTTGCATACCGATCATTGCTAAACATGAAGTATCATCTTCAGTGAGATTATCGAATTCCTCCCACGAAAATCCAGTAAGCTTCTCACCTACTAAATACAAAACCCCATTCTTCAAATCACCCCACAAGCCAATAACTTTAGAAATACCTCTTTGTTTAAGAGAGATCATCGCATCAATCTCATTTCTCTCTTCCTCTCTCATCCCCCAAAGACAACTCATCATCCTCTGGACATAACTGTACTTGAGGACAGAATCACAATCATCATGCTGGAACGAAGCAACCCGTAAAAGACTCACCGTCGAATCATCCTTCAGGCAATCCGTAAAAGACGAAGCTAAATCGCTACCTTCACCTTCCCCATTTTCCACGGAAACGGCGTCGTGCAGTAGGATCCGGTCTTTCCAAATGGCGTAGAAGTCGTCGGACCATGATCGAATGACAAATTCGACGGATTTTTTCAAATTCCGGCCAGGTTCAACCGTTACCCGGGAAGTCGAAGGGAACAATCTGAGAAGATCGATGTTTTTTGGGAGAGCTGATGGTCCTTGAGGTGGAAACTTGACGAGAACGGTGCACGCTGGACATCGGATTGTGTCCGGAAACTTCTTGGGAAGATTCGTCAAACATTCCTCGCACGCCGTGTGTCCACAGGCGAGCACGCGAGGAACTGAACAATCGCCGTTGTAACACTGTAGACACACCGGACACTCCGGTGGCTCCATCACCAGCTAGCTATTCGAGCCTCCGATAAACAACTGAACCAAATACGACGCCGTTTGGTCTTGAGGGTATATCTGTAATATAAATGATAAATTGTGGGGCTTATGGTCATTTCCCTCAAATTCCCAATTTATTTCCCTTGGTCGTCTTCTTCGTCGCGTTTTATCGATCTTTGGACGTGACGAGAAGAGAGAACATCTGATCCGCTAGGGGTAATCAATCACATTCTCCGATCATGCAGAAGTTTTCGCTTTAGATTTTCTGTTTAATTGTCGAATGCGAATTTCTACCCTTTGTTTCATGATACGATGTTTCATTTCCCGATAGGTTTTAGCCTTTTAGGAGAAAGTAAGAATCAATGGCGGGAGCTGGAACATCCATGCTCGGGTCTATTCTTCTGTTTACGGTAGTTCTCTCGCTTCAGGAAGTGTACCGAGGGAAATTAGCTTCTTCAGAGCTGTTCACGATCCTTGGAGGATTCACTAGCTCCCTCCTCTTTCTGTTGTCTCTCACAGTAAGTTCCTTTGCTGCCTCGACGATTTTCTCTGACTTAGTTTTCCCCTCGAAGTCTTTGATCCGTTCTTTGAAATTTGGATCTTTGGTTCTGAATCTTCCGACATTCAAATCAAGTAGTATGTTTTGCTTTATCAAATTCCTCTGCAATGTTGGCTTGGATTGATTCGATTTTACTTGCAGTTCATCGGGAATTTCCAGGAATCTTCTGGCATGAAGAGTAGCTGGGGTGCAGGTAGGTTTCTCTTTGACATACTCAATGAGAAGGCGATTATCCTTTGCTTTGCTGTGGAATTACATTCGTTTCATGTATCACTCTGCCCAAAATTACATGTCTTTAGTTCACAAGTTTGAGGACTTTATATGTTGTGGAAATTCAGATTATGCTCCAAAGGTTTCTTTCTTGATAACAGATTCCAAAATGTTCTTCTTATGTGTTTCAAGGGCAAGATATCAATGTCTACTAGTGAATCGATTCTTGAACCTGAAATTTTGTTATCAGATTAGATGTCTTAATTGATCTGTTTTTTTCTTTTTGTTGTCAACTCATTGTCATCTCTCACTTATGCAAGAATCACAGTGAAAACCATCCCCTAAAGTTTGTTTGATGTTGTTGGTACATGTAGTAGTAAGTTCTGCAAATTTTTAAAGCCATTTCTTTTTTCATGGCAGTGATTCTTGCGGAAATCATAGCTCTTATTGCTGCTAGTACGGTGCATCGAGTTTGTATTACAACCTGGTAACACACTAGTTCTTTTCGATGTATGAATCTTCATTGTTAACATCATATCATAACTCTCTGGCTAAAAGGTGCGATTGCTTTGCTATTCATTGTGCTTATTGCAGTTTCTTCTTCTCTGCTGGACTGTTATACGAGATGAACAAGATCTCTGGATACATGTTCTCAAAAGCTGAGTCAAAATCTAAAAGGCATTGAAGCAAAGAACTGAATCGGTAAGTACACCATGTTTTAGCACTAAAAGATTCAAGGATACTTCCAACTTCAGGAATTAAGAAACTTAGAATTTTCCACATCTCAGGCTTGCTTCGATTTGTAGTGTTGTGTTTAACGTGAGTTTATGAAAATTCAGATGATTATATTTATAGATTACCAATAAATCTCAAAACTACGCATCTTTTTTTTTCCAGTAATAGATTTGAAGCATGTGTTTGATCTAGTATACACACGTTTGCAATCGTGATTAGAAAAAAAAAACTCAGGTTTTTATAATTTAATCAATCTTCTTCTTTTTCTTTGGTAAGTAAAGATTAAGGACTGAAAATAATTAATTAGTCAAAAAAATCAGTAAACAAGAGGAAAACAGGTGGGGTTTTATAGTCCACATTTTGTCAAATGTATCAAAAGTATTTCCATTAGTGGTGATGATGTTCCTATGAAAAATAGTCCTGAACCTAGGCGTGTGTTCTCCACACTCGCCAATATTCTCTAACCTCTTCTCATCATTTTC